AAGTGCTGAAGGAATACATGATAGCATTTTGCTACTGAGAAGTGGGTTTTGGCATCCATCTCTAGTTGTCAGTGGAGATTCTCAATCATCCAAGTTATGATTGTCCCAAAAGTGCTTTTTCCAGAAGGCAACTAACTGATCTTTCTTGGAAGTCCAAAAAGTCTAGTTGCCTTTTGGAAAAAGCATTTTGGGACATCCATCTCCAGAATCATCTCTGTATATCATTGGCAAGGCAGAAACAATTTCCTTATCATAGATTGCCAAACAGTAAACTGGAATATTATTACATGTTTCCCGAATTGGATTTTTTAAAACTTCACTAGAAATTGAAAATTTGGGCTTTTCGGGAGGAAGAATGGTATATAGCAGTGATAGCTAACCTTTTCCGGACCGAGTGCCCCAAGTGCGCGCGCACCCCCAAAATTCAATGCGCTTGCAACCCTCCTTGCGCCCCACGCGCATGTGCAGCAGAGACCCGAAGAGCAGCTGGCTGGTGGGAGACGTGCACGCATGCGCAGCGGAGCTGAACTGGGGCAATGGCTTGCATGCCCACAGAGAGAGCACTGTGTGCCACCTCTGGCACGTGTGCCATAGGTTCACCATTACGGGTATATAGTGTAGAAATAGAATTTCTATACATGAACATGCATGCACTGAATGCCTTTTACAGGTTACTTTTTATATTACCATTTCACTAATTTAGATGTTGCTGTATTATAATAAAGTTCAAAGTAACTGATATGAAATTAACATTTTATGGAGTCCTTGGTGGTCTCCGAGCTTGTGTGCCCTTAAAGATACTCAGTTACCCAACTATGTAATATCAGTGCAACTGAGTATGAAGTCCTAATTTATATATTGGACTTTGCCTTCTCAGTGTTGGTGAAGGTGTGGTTTTCTTTTTTATACTTCCGTAATTAAGTTATTGTTTTCTGCTTGATTGCCTGGTATTAATCATAACTTGTTTTTTCATAGTTTAGTTTGTCTCTTGTTCATCCCAGTCAGGTGAAGAAATATTTGCAAGCAAATAATAAAGCTCATAGAGCATCAAGGGTTCCACAATTCCATCCTGAGCTACTTATATTCTCTTCCATTGAATATATTTTATCTTTGGGGAAGAAACTGAAAAATATCAAATGTTAACATCAAATGTTAAACAAATGTATGTAAAATATTCTGAGCTGCTGCAGGGTAGGAGTGATCAGTTGAAATGACTCCCTTTTTCTTTTAAAAATACCCAGTCTGAATAAGAAAGTACTAAAATATCTAATTAACAAAAACAAAAATGAGTTCTCCAGATGGTCAACAAAACTAGGCATGTCAGTAAAGCAAAACTGAAGACAAAATGATTAGAAATTAAAATTCAGTTAAAACATACATGTCTGACAGGCTGAAACAGTTTGTTGACCTGATTCCCTAAAGACAAATACAATATCAGGTAATTTTCTTCTAGAATCCTATTTCATGACCAGGGTACCATTTTCTTTGCTGATCACATAATTACTTCAGATGATGTGAGCACTCAGAAAAGTCCTATTAGACTATGGAGATAAGAAGTGGGCCTAACAGGCAATCTGTTGTTTGTATTGCTAGCAGTGATGACATTGGCAAGATTCCGTACATTTTCATAATCTGGATAGCTAGCTTTCCAATAGCAAGAGAGGCATTTGGTAAGGGGGAGACTCAAATTCAACTAAAATAATTTGTTATTTGGGGGTATTTTTGAGTTTACATTGTGCAGCTGTCCTACCCTTTTAAAAGAATATTAAAATACAGGAGATTCTTGATTTATGACTACAACTGAGCCCAGAATTTTGGTACTAAGTCAAGTTACCATGTGACTGGACCTGATTTTACTACTTTTTATGGTGGTCATTAAGTGAGTTACCATGATAATTAAGCAAATCATGTAAGTCCAAATCCAGTTCATCCAATAGGGGTTTTTTTGCCACACAAAGACAAAAAAATGTCACAACATGCCATCATGTGATGGCAGGAACTACGACATGGCCATAAATATAAATGGATGGCATCCAAAATGTGATCATGTGACTGCAGGGTAGCATGGCAGCTGTAACTTTAAACCTGTCATAATTTCAAATGGTCTAAGCAACTGGTCATATGTCAAGGACTATCTGTAAATTCAGTAAGAAGGTCCTCCACTTTTAATCAGCGTGGATTTGATTTAAATCAACTCGATTTAAATCATAATTTTTAAAGCGCAACTGTCATTTCTGTCCTGCAGCGGCTCCTCTGACCCACTGTTGACTCACCGGCAGTCCCATTCACTTTAATGGGATAGCTGGTGATGTGGCAGTGACACAACAAAGTGAGGGACTTGGCAGGCAGCAGGTAAGTGGTTGCCCGCTAACCGGCTCTGCCATGATGGATCTAAATTGACAGGTGCTCTTTAATATTATATTTATAAGCTGCTTAAAATGTTTCACTTTCATTTTTACTGCTTGCCCTTCCTCCTCACACTTAGAGCCTGTTGGTAGAGATGCATTTCTCTTCAAACAATCATACAATTTGTAGTCTACATAGATTTGCAAAACAATGGGATAAAGGAATATTCCTGAACTTTGTTTTATGATTTATCTCATGGTTACTGTGAAATTGTGTGAATGCATCAATGCAATGCATGTTATCTCAGCTTGCAGAGTTTGGATTCATTGAATGAATTTACCAAATATACAGCCTCATGCTACATAACTAAGCTCCATTTCATGCTGAATAAATTAAATTATTAATGTATCTTAAATAGAAAACTATCTTTAGATAGATTTTTACTCCAAAAGCATTTTATTAAAATGAATTTGATAAAAATTGGAAAAAAAAACTGATTTAAATTTTAAAAATCCATTTTTTAAATTTTTTTTAAGAAAAATCAATTTTTATCCACCGTGCTTTTAATCATTGCACTATTTTAAATTTTCTTTTTCAAAGAAAATCTGTTAAGGAGAAAATTCTAAAAGAAATACTATTTTGAAGCAACCTGTGTTTTGGAAAAGAAAAATCAAGACACACTTGAAAGAATGGTTAAGGGGCCTGGTGGCTCAGCAGACTGAAAGCACTGTGATTAACACCAGCTGTCTGCAATTACTGTAAGTTCGAATCTCACCAGGCTCAAGGTTGACTCAGCCTTCCATCCTTTCTAAGGTAGGTAAAATGAGGACCCAGTTTGTGGGGGCAATAAGCTGCCTTTGTATAAATATACAAAAAGTATCAAGGCTATTGCTTAATGCATTGTAAGCCGCCCTGAGTCTCCGGAGAAGGTTGGCATATAAATCAAATTTAAAAAAAAAAAATGGTATCCCAACTTGCACATTACAGGTTGTTCTTGAATTATGAAATTCAAGGAAAAATAGATTGGGGAAATAAAGAAGCCCTATATGATGTGTGATCTTACATATCTTCCTATTTCTTGAGGGCTAAAAAGAGTCTTGGTCAAGAATAACCCAGATCAGTTCATTTTGACTGTATATTTGTTTCAAAATAGAGATGGCAGTCTGAGGAGGCTGCTTCGGGGTGAGGGTGAAAGAGAGAAGATGATGGTTGAGGCTCCCACCAACCCCCACTCCTGCCCACCTGCCAGATTCCCTAATCCAGGACAGGGATAGAAAAAAGGCAGCCTCTGCTCCCCCCCCCCCCCGGGGTCTCTTGACATTCAGGCTACCTCACAGCCCTAAAATTCAGGCCCTAACCCTAGCCCTTTCAGTATATCCTTTTTTTATAATAAAAATAATCATAAGGGCAGAGAACCAATTGTTAAATTATTTGAATCCCACCACTGGTGAAAAGTCATAATTAAATTAAAAAAATGTAACTATGTCACAATAGAGATTTCTATGTAGACATTGGTTTGAGAGAACAGAAGAGTTTTTTAAACAAATCTTTTATTGTATCAATCAATTAGAAGCTATGGAAACAGCTGGGAAATTAGATTTAGAGTGGGAATGGGAGAAGGTTTGTGACCAGCAGATATCATTCATAATTCCTGGGGGACAGGGTGTGTGGGAGGTTTGATCTATATCACCATAACTCCTTTGATGTATTGATCTATTTGGGGCAATGTTAAGCAAAAAGGTTTTGGATGAAATTATTTCTATAGTGTCTTTCTGTAATATATTACAGTTCCAGATGCCTTTGGGACCTAGAAGAATATAGATAATAGGGAAAATAGATTCTTAGTTATTTTAATGCTACAATAATTTTTTAAAACAGAAATATACAAAATTCACAATGGGAGCAAAGCCCATTATAACTTTGTACCGTAACAAATATATAGAGGGACAGAATTATCCAGTGATAGAGCAAAATTGTTAAACTATATGTTAAGTTAAATAAATATTAGCACTGAACTATGGTAAAAACCATAATATCCAGTCTGTGCTTAGATCTTCCTATTCAATTCAGTGAGAATGAGTTTATATAATTTAAACCACATGTGTCCTTCTCAAAGGTCAAACTTACTCCATGACATAGGCAGTAATGCAAAGAAAAAAAGAATGGTCGCCTGAGGGGGTTCAATGAAAGATAATCTAGGATGTAAAACTACAGACTTAAACTAAAAGTAAAGCCTTTTATTTTACAACAGGACCCCAAAGATCTATATTTTTTTATTAATATGAAGACATTAAATGTACATGAATTTAGAACAAATTATACTTGTAGGAACAATTTTCATTAAATTGCAGTTTAGTTTCTTTTAAAAATTATTTTATTTAAAAACAAGTTCTGTTTAAAAAGTGAGCCATTACCACCCTTTTCCTGCCATGTTTTTATACAAAAAGTGTCTTGTCTTCAAGAGTCAATGTGATTATTTCCCCCCCCCCAAAAAAAATGACAAAAGGGTTTTATGAGGTCAGAATAACAAGGAATTTAATTTAAGAAAAATATTTAGGAATATTTCATCATTGATTAGACATTGAGGACCTGTATTCCAAAAGATAAATTAATCATATCGATCTTTTCCTAAATCTATAGTTTCATTTATTTTTCACATATTTTAAAAAATCTTTTGAATATTGTTGAGATAATACTGTTTCCTATAAAGCACAACATTTATCTCTCATGTCAAACATCCAGAATTTATATAAATAGTACATAAACAATAGTTCTATTATTAGATTAGTTAGTTATAATTATATTTATTAACATAATACATTAACTAAAAATAGTTAAATTGGCTTTTAAAAGATGAAAAAAAAATGCCTTCATTCAGTACCAAAATGAAAGCAATGCTTTTAGATTGGATATCACCACTAAGAAGGCCATCTTCATTCTGACTGTCTACTGATTTCACTTGTCAGAGGGACCTAAGTAAGACCTTGAAAAAGAATCTCAAATTTCATAAATAGGTCTGTATGAGAAAAGTCAATATTTCTATTATCTTGGTCTCAGTCTGTTAAAAAGACTTGAAAGATTAAAACCAACACTTTGAATGTGCCTGGAATATAGGTGACTAGCTGCAGTAACAAAAAATGTCCCAGCTTTTTCTACTGGTGACGCCATGTTTTCCCTGTAAGGCATGAGATTGGTAAGTGATGTCATCTCCCCATCCATGCACCTTTTTGCGCACACATGTGAAGAATATATGGAGCAGCTTTTGAAACGGCTATGCAAGCCAGAAAAAAAAATTGCAGTTGCTTTAACAGTTAAAGAAGAGGGCTCTTGTTTATGCTTCCTAACACTGTGAAGCATCTGTTTGTAACCTTTGCACAGGCCTATTTTCCAATTATTGGTGAATATTATCAATAATATTCAGCTAATATGCTACCGCACTTATATTAATGAGTTATATAATTCTTTAATTGGTTCGTGTCTACATTTCAAATTTGTTGAATTAATCTATCTCCTATACATAAATCATGTTGCTTTTCTTTAAATTTTAGATTTGGCAGTCTTGGAGCATTCCAGTAAAATAATACTATACTACTACCTCCTGAGTAAGTTTTATGTCTACACTCTGTATATATTAATGTTAATTTATTTTTACAAACTAGTAAGTCCTGATATATGCAGATGAGTTTTCTGTTTTGCTCAATGACCTTTCTTGTTATTACTATTGATTTTTTTTTTCAATAAAACAATTATGTCTTGCAGGCATAATTGCAGGCAAGCATCCTCAGACTACTGCTTTTCAAGTATGAATTTCAATTCTCATAATCCCAAATCTGTATGGTTGTTATGAGAACTAAAGTCCAACACCTCCAGAAGCATGAATTTAGATAATGTGATATAGATTCAAGGTTCACAAAGTATGAAGGCAAATACACTGGCAATTATTAAGGTATGGTATGTATTTTATTTGTTTTATGTTATTTCAATTTGATTGAAGCTAAGCAGTGTACAGTCACAAATCTGCACAATAACAATATAAGAGCTTAAAAACAGTAATAGCTTTTTACAGTAAGCACAAAATAAAAACATCAGTGTACAATGCAACATGTTGTGTAGTGAGGCATCTCATTCAGAGAGCAGAGCAAAAGTCATTTCATCTAGTCCCCAAGGCCCTCTGAGTCTCCAAGGTCTAAAAGCTTTCAGAAAATAATGAGAAAAAAAGACCACTACTGTATTATTTCCAGGGCCAAGCTATTCCGTAGGAGAAGAAGCCCCTCCCCATGTCAGTTTTTGAGCACCCTCTTGCCAGAACTCCCAATTACAGGGAATCTCAGTAGGCATTTTATGTACATTGGGTGGGCAGACGCTACTCAGAATAGCCCATCTTGAAAATAATCAGGTAACCCAAGCTTTTCAGATAATAACTACTTCTGTTTGGAAGAAGAACACTATTTCTGGACACCGTGGGAATTAAAAACAAGGGAGAATAAACCAAGGCAAAATAACTAAGGTCTCCTTCAAATCAAGATTTAAGTAATGTAAACAATGTGTATAATTGTATTGTTTGTGTTAATAAAATTAAAGTTTGTTGCTCAACTGGTCTTCGTCAGACCAATTTATAAAGAGTACAGCTGCTGTGAGAAATCTGAATTATCTTGAAGATTTGGCAATTCCTCTGAATAAGCTGAATCCCCATCTGAAACCTAAAATCTTGTAGTTTGAAGGCTACTTCAAGTCAAGCTCAATTCCTGGTGACTGCATGGATGTTTTTCTTTCCAGCAATACAATAGTGGTTTGCCATTGCATTATTCCAGAACTGACTTTGACATCCCAGTCTGTACCAATAGAAAAGAATATTTGTAGCTCAGGGTTGAACTGTGGGGTCCTTGGTGCTCTCTGCACTGTTTAAGGATATAGAAAACCTCAGCACTAATGAATTATCTAATTACCTAATTATCTGGTAATGAAAACAACCAAGCACAAAGACCACTAAGGACCCCCATCCCAGTCTGTCTGTCCTGGGATTTCCTGATAGTCTCTCAAGAATTAATACTAAACAGAACCAGTCCTGTCTCACTTTTTTATAAAATTGAAAACTGGACATATGCTACTATTTGCTGTAATAAGATTAAAAGTACAGAGATACAGTATATCTATTATAGACTATATATTACTCACTATCTTTCTCCCAACATTTGCAAATCATAAAAATTCTCAATATTGTACTAAGTTACACTAGATTCATTTACATAGAACTGCTATATATAATTTGCAAGTGTTATTTCATTTTTTCCTATTAAACAAATTATCTTAATAGTAGGATACGTTGAAATTCTGGTGAGGACATGATGAAGTAGACATCAATGAAGTTGAGGGGACTGCATTTCAATTGAAATTAGCAGCCTGAGGGTGGGTCCTGGTCCATAAAATCTCTCCAGAGAAAGGAGAGATCCAGACAGATGGTCCAGACAGCTGCACCTCATGAGGAGACTGTAGGAACAGAGGTTTTTGCAGTCAGTGTGTGAGTTGAACATCTGGGAATAAGAGATTCCAACAAAGCTCACAGTCATAATGTATCCTATATGGGCACAAAATTCATCCAAGCTGAATTCTTAATCACTTTTGGAATTCCTTTTTACTACTTTTCAAATATTAATAACCTTTGGAATAGCAAGTTTTATGACATTCACTGAGCAAATTTCCTTCAATTCTTAGTGAAACAAGTTTAAGGATGTGGAAAAAATATTGGAATAAACAACCCTTGTTTCTTTCTGTGGGCTCAGGGCCATTACTACTCCAACCTGCCCATAGAGTTCCAATGATGTTCTGTAGATATTGTTTACAAAGCATTTTTGCCATTCTAACAATATGTAAACATTACAACAATTATAGAAAGAGTGAGCACACTATTTGTTCACAAATACAGCTGGAAACAGGCTTATAAATGCAGAAGGAATTATATCTTTGTATCTAAGAAAGTTTCTTCCATAGTAAGTGGAGTTGCAAATGGTCATACAAATTCACATATGGTCTAAAAACATGGATGCTGAGGAGATGGTCAAATTTATTTTGTCTCCTTTTGTATAGAGCAGGAGGAAAGAACTTTTGTTTTTCCAGGATTGGTAGGAGTGTGGGATGGGGCATTAAGTGAAATCTGTTCTTTCCATCCTTCTGTTGATCAATAAAGAGGAATGCGGTTTGATGCACTTGATTTTCAGTGTTTTATTTATTATATTCATTTAATGGATTATTAATTGTAAGATACCAATAGAAGAGAATATTTGTAGCTCAGGGTTGAATTATGGGGTCAAGCCAAGTCTAAAAAACAGTAAAGAATTCCTGGAAATCTGGCATTCAGATAAATCAACAGGCACATAAAGATAAACAACATCTACAGAGACAATTAAAAAAACAAGTAAACAAAAAGATCAAAACATCTCACCAGCAATCAACACACAGTTGAGCAGAAATTAACACCAAGATTAACATTAGACCAACAATGAAGAAGCAAACAAATACCCCAATCAAGGAACTACCCAACAAGCCAACAGTAAACAACCCAATCAAGGAACCACTAAGACCACTCTCACCAACATGGACAGGGCAAGCCACTAGTATGACAACAAACCACAGTCCCTACAAGCACTGATAATGTTACCTAGTTTGGTAGTGAAACATCTGCAAGAAAACTGAATATATCTGAGTATATCAAGAATCCCATAATTATAAGCTGCCCAGAGTTGCTTTTCAAAGTAAGATGGATAAATAAATAAATAAATAAATAATAGCCTGTCTTTATTATTTTCATAAATAACTCAAGGCTGCAAACAAAACTAACACTCCCTCCTCCTCCTATTTTCTCCCACAGCAACAACAACCCAGTGAGGTGGGTTGGGCTGAGAGAGAGAGACTTGCCAAAAGTCACTCAGCTGGCTTTTATGATATGGTAGGACTAGAACTCATGTTCTCATGATTTCTAACCTGGTGCCGTAACCACTAACTGGCTCTTAGAAGCATTATCTTAGAAGCAAGAGAACAACTGTATGTCAGTTTAAAACTGCTTTGTGAGGAATTGGGGAATAGAAATGTGGTGTCATATAAATTATCTGTATAACAAAATTCCATTTTGCCAATTTTAGATGCATCATTAGATTGAAAAATGGTAGATCCACTGGTCAATGCCTCCCCAAAGAATGGTTCACAAAAGTGTAGAGATCTTTTTGTTCATTCTGATATAAATTAGAGTGGAACGCCCTACAGAATTGATTATGATACGTGGGTGTAGGAGTTTGACATATCATAGCCATGCAGGGCGCCATGACAGAGTAATAGTTCCTATAATATAATATTGTACAGTAATTTGCCACATCCATTTATGCCATCAGCGCAGTTGCAATCCAGCCAACATTAAGCACATCTAATACCTCATTCCTTTCCATTACAAAATTAATTTTTAATTGCAGTATTAAATTCTCTAATGAAAAGCAATAGAATTTAAAAGTATATTGGATAATGTCCCAAACAAACTTATTTCATGCATGTTAGAGAAAAATTACTAGAAGCAAATTATGTTGCCTTTATCTCAATTACCTCAAGAGGTAAAATGAATGAAAAATGTGGGCAGATGATGCAAAATCAAAAACAGCAGCAAAATAGAGACTTAATTAACTTAATACTGAAATGCACAATGCAGATTATACTTTTATTAGCTGATTTATTTAATTTGATTTTGGTGCCACTTGCATGAAACTGCAGTCGGAAGTCTAATAATAAGGAAATCATGCAGAAAAGCAGGGAACTTCAATAGAAAGGTGGACAAATATTTTTGTCGTGTCTATTTTACTTCTAGATAATATGGTATCTCATTTTTTATTATCTTTTAAGTATTAGTTATTACCATAAAAACAGAAGATCTAATCACGCTTTAGTATCTGCCTAGTGCTTTCAATTATGTAATTAAACATGTTTTTTTTTAAAAAAAATCACTGAAATCTGACATAACACTAGTCATTCAAGAATTGCAGAAATGACATAAAAGATATTTTAAAACTCTAATAAGAGGAAGGAAAGCTCTAATAGTAAGGTGTGTGTTTTTTAGTGTATTTACTACAAGATCTATGTTTCTGCGTTCTGTCTTTGAAGTAAAAGGATTCCTCTTGCAGATTTAAAGGAAAATAGGTCGGAGGCTCTTCAAGTCACATATCTTTAAGACAAATATGTTCAACTGGAATAACATCCATTTTATCATATGTACCATGATGACTGGTTCTTGCTGAACTTTTGCCCAGATTAGGAAGTTGAAGAGATGGCCATTTCAGTTTGAATGCCATTAAAATAAATGTTTTTGTTGGCTAAAATGGGTATTGATTATTAATAGCAAATCCTGTTAATTTCTACTGAGAATTTTATTAGAATTCTTCCAATTAGTCCATCATTATGATGCCCTTATAAACATAATTTCTCCCTCCAAGTCTTTGTATCGAAATTTATATCTTGAGCATAGTAACTATAGAACACTTGGCCAGATTGCTTAAAAGTCCTCTTTCTCACCCTGCAGTTGAAAAACAAAATCTTAATTCAAAGACAATTGCTGCAAGGGCAGAGACCATTTAAGCCACAGGTTCAATCCCTTACTTAGTGAAGGGATCCAAATTAAAGTATCTGGACTAGTGATGTACTGGACCACCAGTAAAAGATAGACTATTGCCACTTTCACTAATTATTGAAGGTTATAATTATCTAATAATTATCTAATTATTCTTATTGTTAGGACTTTTTTTCTACTGAAATCTGATGGCTAATTTCTTTGTTGTCCTTCTCTAAAATTTCTTTAATTTCTCTTATTCCTTTAAAAATGTAATGTCCAAATCTAGATACAAAATCCAAGATCAGGTCTGATCAAAGCAGAATGAAGTAAAAATATTACTTCTTAGCATTTAGAAATTATATTTCATATTAGAAATCGTACCTCTCTTGTTGCAACATAAAATTACGTTTGCCTTTATAGGTACATCACACTGGTAAATCATGTGCAGTCTGTAAATAATTATTATTCAAACCAGGGGTGAAATGCTCCCGGTTCGGATCGGATTGCCCGAT